GAAATGCTACACATTCCTGTAATCAGACTGTATGCCCATGTTGCAGTTGTCTGAATGATCACATTGTCTGCTGTTTGAATTGCACTCCTGCTGCTGGTTCGCTGCCCCTAATTATTTTTGTTTTAGCGTTTGTCCCTGATTTCTCAGTCAGGCAGTTGAAAGAGGCCGTGTCATCCTCTGAGAGGTGTTTAATCAAGGGATGAGTAATCAAACAAAAAGCTTTTTGGGGAGGGGTGGAAGTGGAAGAAATGATATTGTCTGGCCGGTTATTATGTTTTCTCTTCTCGACACTTAAATAGAGTTCCTGCAGAAACCCGGGGTGCTGCCCATTAGCTTGGAGGGTTGGGCTGCCTGAATAAGTGGATGGCTGCTTTGTAAAGAGGGAGTGGTAAAGGAAACAGGCTAAAAAAGAGAGAGAGAGAAATCAATGAAGTTGAAATGTGCTCTAAGCACACCTACTTATCATCTCCTCGCACTCCACATGTCATCCAGCTGCCAAACTCTCTGAAAACATCTGGGTAGGTGGCTCTGCACGTACATGTCGGTGCGCTGATATGCGCACCCATTTGGGATTGTCGGAAGGGACTCCGCCGGTTCCTCTGAGGTGTAGTGACATGTATCAGGGCTTGGCTATAAATTTCATTGCATTGCTGTGGCGAACAGAGAAATGAGTGAGGAAATATCTGATTAAAGTGTGCATTGCTGCTGAGGCAACCGCATGTTGCCATAGCAATCGAGATGAAATGTGCAAGGAGTGAGATAATTAAATCTAACCCCTTTAGAAGTTTTTGACAGTCTATGCACTGCCAATAAGGAGGGGGGACGAGTTATATCTGGCATTAAAGATAAAACCCATTCCTTGTGAAAGTACAACTTCTTGTTGATTTTGTTGTTGTTCCCTTTGCTAAATGCATTGCTTCAGGTCCCTTATTTGAATGCTCCCTTTAATAATCGGATGCAGTTTTGACCTTGGCTTGTAACAGCCTGATCTGGTTTATTGTTCCATGGGAACTGCTACACAGAATATCCAGCTATATGTTTTTTCACTCTCTTACTTACAGTACAGTAAAGCCTGGCTGTCACGTCTTAGATTATGATTCAATAATATCTAGAACGTACTGCCCTCTTCAGGAACTGTCGATTGAAAAACAACAACAAGAACTTTTGAATGTGTTTATTGATTTATGAAGTGCAAGGAGTAAATGTGACCTTATGAGGCTTATAAGGTGCAGGGAGTTCATTGCATTTAGTGGTATGAGCAGTAAGCTAGCATACATTGGTCAGGCTGAAATGTTAATAGAAGAAGAAGAAAAAGTGTTGGAAAGCAACAACTTTAAAAAATGTTGTCATGGGGTTGGACTAGTAATTCCAGAAAATAATTGGCAGCCCGGTGAAGCACTTTAGCGTGATGAGTTCTAGGGTGGCGAGGTAGCCCTAGTGCCAAAGAATTTATAGCACAGAATGTCACAAGAGACGTCAAGCAGTATGTGCCTTAAAATTCAAGACTAAATTCAGAAAGGAATTTAGTTTAATTACATGTTTTATCTTAGGGAGAAGAAGAAGAAGAAACAAAACCAAGGTCACTTGCAAAGTGTGCTTCCCACTTTAGTGTAGCCGGATTACATTCTAGGCTAGTAAGATTTTGAAGCAGCGAAACCACATTGGATGGGTGGAGGCTGTGGTTATTTCCTACCCTGCCACCGCCTTTGGGCAGGTGCAATACAGGTGGAGAAGGCTACGTGACCTCTCTCTTTCCAGTGTTATTAGTGCAGGGTGGGACCTGCCTATGTGGATTCAGTAGCCATTGCTACACAGGTAATATCAGCAAAACAATGATGATGCATTTCTAAGTTTGGAATTGATGTACTCAGACTGGGTGCGGTGCACTGATACCAGTTGCAGTGTCATGGACATAAGAAACTGCATTATTATCAGAAGAGGCTGTTTGTTCATCTAATCTGGTATTATATTCTGAATCTCCGTGTAGCTCTCCGTGGTCTTTGCATCACCTGCCACCTGAGCATTTCAACTGGAGATGTCAGCAGAAGTGGATCACTAGGGGCGAGGAAGGATCCACTATGCTAGCTCCCCAGCAGGTGGGTTGCTTTTGTTTACTGGGAGAGAAAGGTGAAGTGGCAGGGAGGTTGGTGCACTGCAAATGCAGTGGCAGGGCCAATTGGGCACTCCTTGCACTGCATTAACCTCATTGCCACCTTGCCCTTCCCCCTCCCCTTCCAGGTAAGCAACATTAATCCACCCACTGGGAAGCTGGTGTTGCTGTTCCACTACACCCAGTGAGTCACTTGTGGAATTGAACGTGGGATGTTCTGCATGCAGGACACATGTTCTTCCACTGAGCGCTGGCTCCCCTGTTGCCTAGCCCGGAGTGTCAATCAGCCAGCTTTGGAGGGGAGGGTGGGCTCAACTTCCTAGACACCTAGCAAGCTAGGCTGCATGAGACAAGCAAGGTAGGGGGGACACACAAATGCTGATTTATTTATTATTATTATTATTTGAAAACAGGACAAAAGGCATCCTGTTTGGGGGCCAAACGGGACAAGGGAAACTGTGGCCGCAAAGTGTGACAATCCCATTTTTTATAAGATGGGTGGCAACCCTAGTTGGTTCCTTTTCCTATAAGGAACGCAGTGACTTGCTCCCACAGTCCCTAGCTGATGGCCAATCCACTAGGCAAGACCTGAGTAGTAAACTAGGAGAAATGAAAGCAACTGCCTCAACAAACCTAGATGCTTAACAACTACAGTTAGACAATGTGGGTTTTTCTTGGTCTCTGTGGTGTTTGGATTCCATGTTTCAAATCTGTCCTCCAATTTCACAAAAGAAGCCTCCATTTTTTTCTGCCTCATCTTCAAGGAACTTTAGAGTTTATTTAGAATTTCTGTGAGCACAAAGTTTTGAGATCACCTTATTGCTGCAAGATAGCCAAGGGTGTGTGTGTGTGTGTGTGTGTGTGTGTGTGTGTGTGAGAGAGAGAGAGAGAGAGAGAGAGAGAGAGAGAGAGAGAGAGAGAGAATGAATTTCTTTCCGGTAAACATTTCTCAAGCACCCTGCAGCCAACACTCCATGCTTCCTGATCTGAAAAAGGCCCATGAGAGATATTACTTCATGATCCCTTTCCCCGGAATTTAATTGAAGTGTGGGCAACTGGGAAGGTTACAAAGTACCAGACCAACCATTGGTTGAGCTGATTTGCAGAATGAAAGAAAGGGAACTCCCTTACTCACATGCACCCTTAGTCACCTCAAAAGTAAGTTAAGCGGCCACCCACAAACTTGCACCTAACCATGAGAATGTCTAGTAGTTCCTGTTCTACTGACCGACTTCCCTTTTCTCACTGTTCAGTTTCAGCTACAGATTTCTCTTTGCATCCCTGTCTGATCCACCATATGTACTGTAAGCTGGTTAAAGAAAGACAGCATAATTTTTCTGTTTTCTACTGTATCATACCAAGTTGGTGGTGCTAAATGAGCTGTGATTAACTGAATGAGCTAGAGTGAAAGGGACCTTTGCCTTGAGTCCATTGTCACGTAAAACATCAGATTCTCTGTGCAATCTGGAGGAATTTTAAAACAGGGCCATTGTTTGTCTAATAATGGCTAGGGTCTTGGGCTTGGATGTAGCAAATTCAGGTTCATATTTCCACTTGGCCGTGAAACTCAGTGGGTTATTAGTCACTATTTAACCTGACCTGCCTTTCAGGGACAATCCTATATATACTGCTTTGAGCTCTTTGGAAGAATAGAATAAATATGTGATACACAAATGAATCTGAAGTACTAATGGCTTTAAAAAGTGTAGGAGAATGGAAAGTCCACAAATTGATTCATAGCCGTGGCTTCAATCTAATGCAAAAAGCAGCAGCATTGATTTTCAACATAGGGCAAATTCGCATGACCATAATGTCTTCTCTGCACACACATACCCCCCCCCCTTAAGTGACTTATTTCAGCTGTCCTTTGACAGATGCCCAGGTGGATCCTTTACTTGTGAATGTTTTCAGCCGAGGTCCCAGTTGCTTCTCACCACATTGTGAATATGACTATGGTTAGCAACGTAATGAGAGCCGGTATGGTGCCATGGTTAGAGTGATGGACTAAGACCTGAGGGGAAAGGGTTCAAATCCCCGCTCAGCCATGAAGCTCACTGAGTGATTTGGGGGTGGCTGTTGCCTCTCAGCCTAACCTAGCTTACAGGGTTGTTCTGAAGACAAAAGGAGGACACGGAGAGCCAAGTATGCCACCTTGAGCTCATTGGATGAAAGGTGGGGTATAAATCAAATGATAAACATGGCATCTTCAAGCTGCAACACGTGGTTAAACTGGGTTCTAGCCTTTTTGTTAGCCTGTCTTTGCACAAATGTGGAAGTCCATAGACAGAGAAAGCTCACCAAAAACTTTAAAAGATGGAAGGCATCCCAGTGCATCTCCTTCCTCAAACACCATCTTGCCCTGGTGGCGGGGTGGGGGGAGATGATGGAACAGCCTGGAGAGCTGCCCACCCTCTCATTCCCGGTGTTCCAGTTGAGATGGTTTCCCTGCCATCCAGCCCTGACAGCCACACCTCGTGGCTGCTCAAGAACCATTTTGCTCTTAGATTTGGTCCTCCTTCACCCTTGAAACTTCTCTTTGCTGTTCATTCAATCATTTCAATTGATGATTATTTGTGGCTATTTCTATGTAAATCACTCTGTGGAGTCTGCTTGAAAAGCAATAATATAATAATATATAATAATGTAAAATATAATGTATACTCTGATTTTTGTGATTACTCTCAGGGGCCCTGAGCACCCACAGAATTTAACTAGGGCTTCCTAAATAGATATAGGATGTTTCTGGGAGACACTTTGTTTTGTGTTTTGCTTTGTTTTGTGTTTCTAGCTATTGGTTTGTTTCATTTGTGCGTGTGGATGCTGATGTTTGGGGAGTTAGGCTCCCCATGGATAAGGGCATAATAACTAATAACATTTCTTTGCTTTCCAGGGTACTTTTGGCACAATGATAAATTTCATCTTCCCCAGAATGGTAAGCAGAAAACTATTTTCTGTATCTGACACCAATGAATACAAAGGAGAACAAGCAAAATTGTCATTTGAAAATAATGAAAATTCACTTAAAAATAAATATGCAACTTGATAAGGGTATTATTCATGCAGCTATAAACATCTGAATATTTAAACCCTGTAAAGCCATCTTTAAAATTCCCATCTAATTTTTGTCTAGTATGTTTGGTTGTTGTTTCTACAGAAACATAAAGATTTACCATCTCTGCTGGAAATGCTTTAGAAACCTGGTGTGTTCGCCAATGTGTTTTGCTGCATAATTTATTGTAATATATACATACCCACACACATAAATATGGTTTACGTTCTATCAGTTGAGAGAGGAATTGTATCTCTGCTTTAGATTGAGAGAGGGTTAGGCCTATATAATGTTTTACTGTGTTGAACTGTATAAAAATTGATCCTTATTTATGTTCCACCAGGGTTTTGCTGCATATGTGAATTTAAAATGGTATATTTTCAGAATATAGACACCACATCCTGAGTAAAAGCTGCATGCTACCATTTTGTAAAAAAACAACAACACCCAGATATTTTCTAAGGTTCTCCCCAGCACTACCCCAAGACTGGGAAAAAGGCAATATTTATTCTACTCTTTGATCATAGCATCTTTGCAATCAAATAAAATGAAAAATTCATCATATTGTACGTGAAAAGGTCACCTTAAAATGAGACTTCATAGAAAAGGAGCCTGAATGAGATAAACCAACTGTTAAGGAGACTTGTGTTCAACAGCTCTTGAAATAGGCCTCTATTCCCCACCTCAACATCATCTCATTCCTCAAACATTTGGTTGGAAATAAACATAAAGCCATCATGCATTTGAACTGTTTTGACAATGGGGAAAAAATATTGCTGGAAAAAAGTAGTTTCTTCCAAGCACTAATGTAACCTCTTCTTAGTCTTACAGCTGAAAGCTTTCCTGTCTAATCCCAGAAGAAACTTTTCAAAAAAAGGCAATTATTCAAGAACTTTAATGCAAAGATGCATTAAAACAATGGAGGGCTTAAAACATGTGCCAAGCTGATTTTCTGTTGTCTTTGATACAAAAGCAGAGGCGTTCATGAGATTTAAGAAAACCTATAACATGGTTTCAAGACTGGAGGAGTTTTTGTGTGTGTGTGTGTGAAATAAAAGTTAAGATATCTTTGTTGATTCACTGAAGACAGGCTAGGGAGCTTTTGTGGTAGGGACTGACTCAATATATTGTGCTTCCCCAGGAGACTGTAGTGTGGAAGTCCAAAATGTGATCACAGAGCCCAACTAACTCTTAGATAGCACACACCACCCGTGATCTCAGTATCCTCTGCCCCATGCTATGCCTCACCTTGAGTACTGTCAAAGACCCTGTATCCTTTGCATACAAATGGGCATATTGGCATGAGGTAACTGTCAATACAGATCATATAATGCCTTCACCTGTAAAAGCCACCCCTAATGCGAGAAGTGAGGTTAGAGGGAACCAGGTGGAGGGCCTTCTCAGTTGTGGAATGCCCTCCCATCAAATAAACAACTATCTGACATTTAGAAGACATTTGAAAGATGTTTGATGTTTTAATTTGCTGGAAGCCACCCAGAGTGGCTGGGGCAACCTAGTCAGATGGGTGGCTTATTATTATTATTATTATTATTATTATTATTATTATTATTATTATCCCTGCATCCTTGGAAACTTTTGTTTATGTTGGCAACGCATGAGGTTTTTCGGGGTGAACAGTACAGAACGAGAGAATCCTTTGTCTTTAGGTGCAAAATGAATCACTTCTATCCATGTCAGGGCTGAGGACTATATATAAAACAAGGAGCTGTCTCATTGTCTTGGTTGGCTGCCAAAGCTTTCCTATGGTGAAAGAAGTGGGAGAACCGGGTCAGTAGGTGTAGTGCCAAGGCTGACTTTCAGAGAGAAGGGTGTCACACTTAAGAATTGTTTCAGTGAGACTATCACAGAATATGAATCAGCAAAGAGATGCACCCAGTGCCATATGAAAAACTCCAAAGGACATTTTATTCAAAGTGGTACAGAGGCAGACAAACGATAAGCAAAGCTTAATTGTCACTCTGTCCTGAAAACCGGGGAGCATAAACTGAGGCACCCAGAGGTCACTAGCATCTTAAAGCACGTATTTCTGGTGACTATTCAAGTTGCTCTGTGTAGACTGAAGGTACCTTCTATCACCTTTGGTGGACATGCCCGAAGATTAAGGCCTTCTGGGAAATGATCTATAATGAAATCAAAAAGGTACTCAAATGTACCTTCTCTAAAAAACCAGAGGCCTTTCTCTTGGGCATTGTCGGCCAATTGGTGACAAAGAGGGATAGAACTTTCTTTATGTACGCTACAACAGCAGCAAGAATACTCATCGCAAAGTATTGGAAGACTCAAGATCTACCCACTCTGGAAGAATGGCAGATGAAAGTGATGGACTATATGACATTGGCCGAGATGACAGGCAGAATCCGTGACCAACGAAAAGAGACGGTGGAAGAAGAATGGAGAAAATTTAAAAGTTATCTTAAGGACTACTACAAACTTAATGAATGCTAAAATGTTGTGGTTTCCAGAAACAAAGGGATACAGGGGATATAAGGTTAGAAATATAAAAGAGGTTTAAGAAGACAGAGATTGGAAAGTAACAATTGGGAGTTGCTAGTTGAACTATGGACATTGGGATGCAGAGAGGGGGGGTATGGGGAAGTCAAAGGAAAGAGGTTTATGAAAATATGTTTGAAACTATACGTGTATGTTTGTCATTTTTGGTGTTTGTTTTGTTTTTCTTAAAAAGTTTCTAAAACCAATAAAAATTTTATAAAAAAAAAACAAGTTGCTCTGTGTAGGGGCTAGCAATAAATCTGCTAGTGCATTAGCAAAGCTAAGCAGGGTCTGGTTTCAAAGCGGATGGGGAACTGTGTGTTGAGTTTCCTGCATTTGCAAGTGCAATGTGGGTGGCGCTGTGGTCTAAACCACTGAGTCTCTTGGGCTTGCCAATCAGAAGGTTGGCGGTTCATATCCCCGTGACGGAGTGAGCTCCCATTGCTCTGCCCCAGCTCCTGCCAACCTAGCAGTTTGAAAGCACACCAGTACAAGTAGATAAATAGGTACTGCTATGGTGGGAAGGTAAATGGCGTTTCCGTGCTCTCTGGTTTCCATCATTGTGTTCCGTTGCGCCAGAAGCGGTTTAGTCATGCTGGCCACATGACTTGGAAAGCTGTCGGCCTGAAAGCGAGATGAGCACTGCAACCCCATAGTCACCTTTGACTGGGTATAACCACCCAGGGGTCCTTTACCTTTACCCTTTTTTACCTGTTTGCAAGGTTTTGGACTAGATGAACCTTGGTGGTCCCTTACAACTCTACCATTCTATTATTTATTCTTTGTAGCTTACCCTTCCAGACCCAGGCTCACCCCCACCACACGTTTCAGTATGACCCCCCTCTTCCTTCCTTTTTCTCCCATACAACCATTCCTGGAAGCAAGAATTAATTTGAGGCAGGACTTCCCAAGGCATTGCCACAGGTGCTATTTCATTTTTATGGCTTGTCCCCAGAAGATATCAATATTATTCGTAATCTGAGTGGGTGTGTGAGGCTAGACAGGTTCCCTTGTCTTTCCCACACCACTGAGCAGCTTCCCATTGGATAAAGGCTCGCACGCCCTGGCACTTTTCAATGAAGCACTTCCTGAACCAGAAAACAGGCCCACTCTTCTCACTGACTCACTCAGATCACCTTCACTCAAAACTTGTGGCTCCATCTTGCTTTCAGATGCTGCTTGGGTTCTCCTGCAGTGCGGTTCTAGAGCTCCCAGGAATGATCAGGGCATAGATGACAATTTCTGACTGCCCCCGAGATGATCTAGGTCATTGAGGGTGTTCTTTTTACATCTTTCCTTCTTCCACATTGCCTGCAGTGCAGGATAAGCCAGAGAAACAGAAGAACTGGCTCTGTGAGCATTGTTTGCTCAAACAATGGAAGGTGTGTCCACATGAAGAAGCTCATTCCAGGCCAGGGGAAGGAAGCAGGGCTGAGCTGTTCATTCCTCTCATTGTATCCTACAGATTCTGGAACAAACAGCCAGAATTAGTCCTCATTTCCACATGATCATGTGCATCATCGTCTTTTATTATTTGCTAAATATTTACAGTTTGCTAAGAAGCATGAAAGGGACGCGGGTGGCGCTGTGGGTAAAACCTCAGTGCCTAGGACTTGCCGATCGTATCATCAGCGGTTCGAATCCCCACGGTGGGGTGAGCTCCCGTCTTTCGGTCCCAGCTCCTGCCCACCTAGCAGTTCGAAAGCACCCCTAAGTGCAAGTAGATAAATAGGTACCGCTTTATAGCGGGAAGGTAAACGACGTTTCCGTGTGCTGCGCTGGTGCCGGCTCGCCAGAGCAGCTTCATCACGCTGGCCACGTGACCCGGACGTGTTTGCGGACAGCGCTGGCTCCCGGCCTCTTAAGTGAGATGAGCGCACAACCCTAGAGTCGGACACGACTGGCCCGTACGGGCAGGGGTACCTTTACCTTTACCTTTAAGAAGCATGAAGCTGAACTACAAAGTCATTTTATGTTTTTATTTTATTTTTGTCTTGCTCTTTCTCCAAGAAGCTCAGGACAATCTGCACAGCCCACAATCACACACACACACACACACGTTAATTCACACAACAACCTGGTGAAGTTGGTTAGCCTAATAGAGAGCGACTGGCCCAAGATCGCCTAGTGAGCTTCATAACAGAGTGGGATTCGAGCTCATCTCCCCCAGGCCTTGGTCACTACAACAACACTTTCTACCCAATATCACTCATGTGGGGAAGGGCATTTGCAAGAAGTATATTTACTGAGGACAGAATCACATGCTATTGTAGCAAACATATGCTCCCAAACCTATTTTTTGCTGTAATGGCATTAATACAGGGAAGAACAGAAAAAAGTAGGCAGGTGGGATCTTTAACCTTTCCCATGCC